GTGTGTTGATTGATCCATCTTATGGTCATTGTAAATGATAGAAATCTAAGTCATCTTGTGTTCTTCCCTTGTATTTTAGTTGTGGGTATTGTCTTTCTCTTGCTTCAATGAATCTATTTGGTATTTTTATCAAGCTTCTTGAGTAGTCGTTCCACCCTTCTTTGTGATGATTAAGTAGGATGGTTGAAATAATAATTGCATAGTATTTTTATTACTTTAAATGGTGATAAGAAATCTTCAGGGCTTAATTTAATTTTTATTCTGGCTAAGTGAATTATTAAAATTTGTTGTGAACCATAAGTCTTGGGACCTGTGGGGTATAGATTGATTTGCCTTGTGGAGAGATGCAAATGTTAGGGAAGTATGTTTTGAAGGCTTAGTTATGGGATTTATGTGAATAAAGTCATTTCTAACCAAGCTTCTTTATGCACTCAGGAGAGGGTAAGGAAGACTATTGCTCTTATTTTTCACCAAACTATTCTACTTGCAGTTTTCAATTTCTAGAAATCCTCTTAACTCATTAAAAGGAAGAGCCACTAAGTATTTGTTATTTTCCATATAATTGTGACAAATTTTAGATTACATTTGTAGGACTTTAACTTTTTCATTGCTTGCAAAATATTAGGATTATTTTGTAGAACTTTAACAAAAACCAAACTTTTCGACTAGGACTATAACCAGTAGGCTAGAATTCTTCCTAAAAAATATTACCTTGTTCCCTATGGGATCGACATTCTGGACTCTAAAATTTGATATTATTTTTACGACACGTGCACTTATGTGAGCCTCCTATGTTTTGTAGCACCAGGAAGTAGTATCAAATTTTTAGCATTGTTGTTAGGGAGCGATGGTGATTTGAATTTGGAAAATTTTAGTTGAACAATCAAATCATAGACTTGAAAACCTCTAGTGTTAATTCTGTGTGTTTATTTGTTTTCACTTTTTTGGAAAAAAAATCAAGAAAAAATAAAAAGAAAAATTATTTGATTGTGTGTGAATTTTTAGGATTCGGATTTTTTAGTTCTTATATGTGTAATTTAGGACCTACAGAACTTAGACCTTACTATTTTGAGATAGAGAGAACTTTTAGAAAAATTAGAAAAGAAAAGAGACCTCTGGAACTCGTAGTAGGGATGACGAACAATCCATAAAACAACTAAGAGATTCATGAACTTTCTAATGAACATCCAAATGTACATAGACCTTTAAGAGGATATGCTAACCCTACGATAGATGAAATTCATTTAAGTATTCAACCCTCTGACGTAGAAGCTATAACATTGAAACTAATGCCTACTATCATCCAAATGGTGTAGAACAACCACTTTGGGGGAACCCTGTCAGAAGATCCAAACTTAAATTTAGTGAGTTTCGTAGAACTTTGCGCCACATTTCGGTATAATGGTGTCTCCAACGACATTGTTAGGCTAAGGAGTTTCCCTTTCTCCTTCAGGGACAAAGCTAAACTATGGTAAAATCATTTGTAACTATATCATTTAGAACGAGAAGTGACTTAGCCCAGAAATTCCTAATTAAATATTTCTCACATTCAAAAACGTATAAACTTTGGATTGATATTACTTCATTTTGTCAGCATAAATGTGAGTTGATTTATGAAGCTTGGGAACGATTCAAGGAACTTCTTAGAAAGTTCCCCCATCATGCACTGCCTGATTGGTTGATAATTCAGACTTTTACAATGGGTTAGTGCGTTCTCTTAGGTCTATCATTGATGCTGCCACTGGTGGTTCTCTTATGTTAAAGCCATTTGATGAGGCCTATTCTCTGATTAAGAAGATGACAACTCTAAGAAATTTCAATGGCTTTCGGAGAGAGTGAACTTAGAAATGTAGCAAGTGTACATAACACGAACTTGCTTTCAATTCTAACTTCTCAGGTAGCTGTTATATCTAGGAAGCTAAACCAGTTAGGGACGAACAAGCCTTAACGACCTTAAGTCTTTGAGGAAAATTCATTCAGGCAACTAATTAATGCTAACACTTCATCTCGGGAGACTCTAAATGCAATAAAAAAATAGAAAGAACAATCTGTATTCCAATTATTACAATCTCAGTTGGATGAATCACCCCAATTTTAGTTAGAATGACAATCAAGTTGCAAGAAACCAATAATGGGAGAGGAATCCACCTAGCTATTTTGATGATTGGAATTGGAGGAGTGGTCTAGAAAGATCTTGAGGTGGAGAAAGAGAACCAGGAACCTGAACAACTTATGGAATACCTTTCCAAAGATTTAGGAAAATCAGTCTCATCCTCTAGAAATAACATAAAGGGACCACCACCACCATTTCCTTAGAGACTCTAAAAACAAAAACTGGGTCAACAATTTTGTCTTTTCTTAGAAGTATTCAAGAAGCTAACAATCAAAATTCATTTTACTAAGGCTTTATAGCAGATGCCCATCAATGGGAAGTTCATGAAGGTTATCCTTAATAAGAAGAGGAAGTTTGGAGATTATGAGACAATAACACTCAGTGAGGTGTGCATTGTTATCATTAAGAAGAAGTTTCTCGAGAAACATAAGGATCCTTGGAGCTTTATTATTTCATGTACCATTAGTGAGAAGTTGTGAGGGAAGGCTCTATGTGATTTGGTGCCAGTATTAACCTTATGCTACTTTCCATTTTCAAGAGGATAGGATTAGAAAGAGGTGTCTCCTAACACTGTAACCTTCAGCTTGTTGATCCCTCGATCACTTATCTGAGGGTGATTATATAAGATGTTCTTATGAAGATGGATTGATTTATCTTCCCTGTTGATTTAATTGAGTTAGAAATAAAAAAAAAAGATAAAGAGATCCCCATTATACTATGTAGACCTTTCTTATCCACTAGCAGAAAGATTATTAATGTTCAGAAAGGAGAGTTGAAAATGAGAGTGAATGATCACGAGTTAACATTTAATGTGTTAAAATCTATGAAGCTTCCTTCAGAATATAATGAAGACGCATGTTATAGGATGGATCAGATTGACTATTTGTGTGTCAGCCACTTTTTGGAGATTTGTGAAGTTAAATCAGTTGAGCAAGATTTGAGCAAGAATATCTCCACTGGTTGAAGATAACCTGTAAACAGTTAAGGAGAGGTTTGAAATACTTGATATTAATGAAAATTGTAAACCTCTTGTTCTTTCCATTGAGGAACACTCTGACTTTAAGATGAAGGTGTTTCCCAAATATTTGAATTATGCTTACTTGGGAAAGTCATCTACAATGTCGGTAACCATATCCTCAAATTTGAGTAGCTTGCAAGGGGAAAAATTGATAGGCGTTATGAAGAACTTTAAGAAAGCTTTTGGATGAACCCTAACAGACATAAAGGGGATTAATCCTTCGATATGTATGCATAGGATCCTAATGGAGAAAAATCATAAATCATGGGTAGTTCCTCAAAGGGGATTAAAACTGTTATGAAAGAAGTTGTTAAGAATGAGTTTTTGAAGCGGCTTGATGTGGTATTATGCAAAGTTCTTCCTTTGGTTCATCTGAGAAACCAAAAGGTGGTATGGCTAGTGCTGTCAACCTGTCGGCCCGAAGATTGAGTTTATTGAATACATACATGAATAAGACGTTCACGAAGCTTTCAGTGTCAATGAGGATACTTCCGACTATGAAGTGATTGATTATTCCCGTAAGAACTATAGCTTTATCATAGGGGTTTGTCCGTTGCGGGAGGTCGCCGCCGGTAAACGTTATTAGGGCATTTGTGCTCCTCTGCATGGTTGCTAGGTTGCACAGTTCCCCTGTCCTAGTTCTCTTTTAAAAAATCTTTGAAGAGGCATACTTTCTTCCAAATATGGCTGAAATAATGCTAGTTGTGTGACCGATGTTTTCTTGTAGGTCACCTTCCTTCGGTTGCTTACCCCTCTCTATGATTATCGTACTCCTCTGCTTATTGCTGGCATTAATCCACACTCATCGAATTTTTCAAGATTTTGGATCCAAATCTGTCTCGGAGACATGCCTAAGAGATATAACATTGGACGATAAAAGAGAATAAAACCTCACATCTCTCTTTTATGAACAGTGCCATTGTACCCTATACTTTATAAACTATTGAGCAATTACATTATGTGCCCCTAAGGCGCTAGGACAAGTTGAGGATATTTTAGTCACCTTCTGTATAAAATATGTGGATCCATTGCCATGAATACCCGGCTCCTGGTCGGGTGGCAATACTCGGTGTGACTGAGAAATTACGCATCTGAGTTACGTCATGGCGGGACAGCTGCGAGGCTGAGCGGATGTTGGACTATGCGAGGCCGAGTGACCATTAAGTTGGATTAATGACCATGATCTTGGCAGATTTTTCTGGGGGATACCCTTTCTAACTCTCTCAGAAATATATCACCCATTTATGAGGGGTGAATGCTTTTGACCGTTTGTGTGATTTGGAGTCGTCCTTGAAAGGTAGTTGTGAGCTACATCACCTGTTGACTATCCGTAGATCATCTTTATGATTTGTGTCACCGCACGCAGAGATGCGTGCGGTGAACCAATAAAAACACTTCTTTTATCAAAAGGGTATGACACTGGACCCCAGTTTATTTTTTTTTCAAAAAAAAAAATTCTGATATAACAGCAGAATAAGAGCTCCTTTTTGATGTACGGTAGTAAAGTAATACCTTTTTACGTTTTAAATCTTCTAATTAATTGCAAAAGTCGAATGTTACAAGAGCTAATTTCAGAGCAGAACTTCAGAATCTGCGGTTCGTGGATGCATACATACACAAATAAAACATAATGAGGAACATTTTGCTTTGGAAATGAATAGGATTAAATTTTTTTCCTTAATTTTTTTTAAATTAAATCTAGAGCCACCGGCCGAAATCTCATCAGAAAACATTTAAATACGTCACGGGCAGTTATATTTACTAATTCCACAAAACACATTGAATAAAATTCTCCTGACATTAATTTTACAATTTCTTTTTTCGTTTCCTAATCATGAGGACAAATTGAGAAGAGAATGACTACTTTACCTGCCATCAAGCCAAGGAGGTGGAGTGCTTCCAGGGAACCAAAGTGGTCTCTCAATTGCCGCCGCTGACACTGAGAAAGATCGCCGCTTGCCGGCGACAACTGCCGCACTTTGCCTCACTCTCTTTCCACCCAGGAAATGTTCTTTGGTTGCACTGAGCCCATTCCCGTTCTTCTGAACGCTAAAAACCGAACAAATCAAAGCAAATCAGCAATTTAAAAATCAGTGCAATCCTATTTGAGCTCTTATTTGGTTGATTAAAAAAGGTTAAGTTTGGTAATCTTACTTGGATGAGACGATGGCAACAGCGGCGACGGCGGAAGGAGCACACACACAGGCCATATTCGTTGAGCTTTCAAACCAAGTGGGGATGGCGTTGAGTATAAGACATGGGAGTAGGCTTATCCAAGGAAGATAGGGCGGGAGGCTTGTGGCTTGCTCATGGATTGGCACGTGGACGCGAGAATCCACTTTGTGGCTGAGATTTATGCGTCGCCATGTTCTATGGGTCTTCTCAAAGATTGTGGTTCTTATTGGATGCCTTTTTTCTTAAAAACATTACTTTCCTGCGTTCCCCATTAAGTTTACTGTATGTTGGGACTTTTGTCATTTAAATATAATTTGTGGTATTAATCAACTAAAATTTTAAATTCAACGATTTATTCATTTAAATTTTAAATCTTATATTTCAACCACCTAAAAAAATCCAAAACTTTAAATATAATATATTAATCACCTAAATTATCACCCAAAATTTTAAATATAATAGATTGATCACTCCTGTTTCAAGAAAAATAATATTTTGGTGGCTAAGGTATAAATTTTGTGTTTAGGTGCCCAAAACACTATGTTATGTTTTGGGTGGTCGCTGTGTAAGAGCCCTAAAAAGGCTAAGGCATTTACTCAAAATAATAATGGAATTTAGTAAAAAATATATGATTGTTATAATATTTCTTAAGACAAAAAATAAACTTTACTTTGTTGTTATGTAAGAAAATATATTTCTTTATATAAATATAGCTTAATTATTATAACATATTCTGATTTGTAATTATCCAATATTTTTATATGTTTTTCTGTGATGAACCCTTAATAATTGCCATTCATGCTTTTCATTAAGATGAAAGGCACCTGTAATCCTAACCTCAATTGCTTCTTCTCACAATAATTATCATGAGTTATGTTGGATCCCTATTTGTTTGTGAATTCTCTCCTTAAGAAAAGAGTAAGGAAGGAGGGAACAGTAGGAAAGAAGTAGGAAAGAAGAGAAGGAAAATCAATTTTTCTTCTAGGAGAGGAAAAACATTTATTCTTTCATATCGAGAGATTGATCCCTTTTTACATTAAGTCCCCAATATTTATATAGGGCTTTCACATAATAAATGGTAATTATTGCTCACAAATCATGAAGAATATATATTTTTTTTTTGCATAAATTTTTATTTTGGATATAACAATAAAATTAATATACCCATAACAACATTGTAGCTCTGTATATGTTCCTCATGTACTTGTTGGGTCATACTCTTGTCGGTCTACTCTGCCTTTTTGATAACCAAACACTACAAAATTTAGCTTTGGGGAGAGTTGCCCCCCTCGACTAAGCTAATTTCTTCATTCTTGACATGTATCTAATACCCTTGACAAATTGGTTAGCTGGTTAGCTAATCATAGAAGGTGCACTGATGACTAATACCTAGCTACTTGTACTTGGCAACTGGTATTCTATCCCTCATATTCAATGGATCATACTCTACAAGACAACTGAGCTAGGAAGTTTTATAATTCACCTTGGTACTTCATCCAACTCTTAATCTTGAGTTTAATAAATTGGCATTCAACTGTACATATTTATGTCAATATTTTGAACAAATAGGCTGAATGTCTTCTCCTTTCTTTCATTCCAATAAATAATAGTCTGTACAATATATTTTATTTACATAATATTCTGTATAATCTATTTTAGGTAACTTAATTAATACATATTCCTAATCGAAATATTCAGCTAAAAGGAAAGAATCTTGTGCAAATATAATATTTCCTTCTTTGCAGCATTGCGAAGAAGGAAACTCTTTATTCTGTCTGATATTGATTTCCCTCCTCAAATTTGATTTCCTTTATTATTGATTGATATCCCTCCTCAAATTGATGCTGGCTGATCAAGAAGGATCAATTTGCCCGACAAGAAATTGATGACGCTGTCGAGAAAGAGCCTTATTAAATATATCAGCTGTTTGAAGATAAGAAGTGATATAGGAAGAGATATAACACCATCCTCATAGGCTTCTCGAATGGAATGACAGTCCACTTCAATGTGTTTCATGCGCTCATGAAAGGCAGGATTAACAACTATCTGTATAGCACTAATATTATCTGTATGAAGAGAAGTAGACTCAAGCTGAGGAAAACCAAGCTCAGCCAGCACACCCCAAAGTCAAATGATTTCGGAACAAGAAGAGGACATAGCGCGATATTCTGATTCAGTAGATGACTTAGACACTCGATATTGTTTCTTGCTCTTTCAAGAAATTAAATAGTTACCAGAAACATGCACCATCCAGTAATAGATCGGCGTGTATCAGAACAACTAGCCCAATCAGCATCATTATAGGCTGTTAATATGATAGGAGACTCCGCAGGAAAGAACAAACCACGATGAGAAGTACCTTTTAAATACCGAACAATACGTCGAACTGCAGCTAAATGAAGATGTTTAGGTGTTTGCTTAAACTGATTAACTTGTTGCAGAACAAATGAAATATCAGGATGGTAATAGTCAGATAATTGAGACTCCCAGCCAATTGTCAATATAGAGATGGTTCAGATATAAAGTCACCACCATTCTGTTGATATTTGACATTTACTTCCAAAGGAGTATTCGCATAATGACCATCTCGAAGACCAGCCAAAGCAATTAGGAAAAATACCAGTGAGAGAAGAGTGAACCTCGAGTCCTAAGAAATAAGTTAATGACCCCAAATTTTTCATATGAAAAGAACCCTGAGGGTGTTTCTGTAGTTGAGACATCAATTGATTGTCAGATCTTGTGGTGACAATATCATCAACATAGACTAATAATAAAAAAATTCCCTTATCAGCCTTGTAAAGAAATAATGATGAATCATACTAACTTTGAATAAAAGAGAAGCTAAGAAGGGTATTGCAAAACTTTTCAAACTAGGCCCGTGGAGCCTGTTTTAAACTATATAGGGACTGTTTGAGCTTACAAACATCATGTGAAGCTGTAGAAAACAAGCATGGAGGAGGAGTCTTATAGACATCTTCTTTGAGATTCCCATGTAAGAATGCATTCTTAACATCAATCTGCTTTAACAACCAGCCTTTAGATGCAACAATAGACAATACCAGCCGGACAGTAGCCGCCTTAGTCACAGTGTAAATGTTTCTTCATAATCAATCTCGTATTCCTGTCGATTGTCAAGTGCTACCAAACTTGCCTTATATCTGTCAAGAGAGCCATCAGATTGGACTTTAAAAGAATAAACTTATTTACAAACAATGGGTTTAACACTTGTAGGATATGAAATAATATCCCAAGTGTGATTTTCTTGAAGTGCCTGAAGTTTCTCATGCATGGCTTTAACCCAACGAGTTTGTTTAGCAACCTAAAAGTAAGAGGTAGAAACAATAGTATTTGTTAAAATTGTAGAATACCCATATCTATCTGGAGGACGTATACATCGAGTTGATCGTCGAATACTTGTTGGTGCACTTTTAGGATCAGGATCGGGGAGGACTGAAGGTGAAGTGGGCAGGCGTCGTGTGTAGATAATGTCAGGCTTGAACCTTTTATCAGCAGAAGAATTATCAAATTGTGGAAGTATAACTGTATCTGGTGTCGACACATGATGCTGAAAGTAATATTAATGTTCGAAGAATACCATCTTTTGAGAAATATGTCATCGACTATTAATCGAATCATAACATACAATACCTTTATGATTAGGATTGTACCCCATAAAGGCACATCATACTGACTGAGCTGTCAGCTTATGATATTCATGAGTAGGTATATGAAAAAAGCAAACACAACCAAAAGTATGTAGCATATGATAATTAGGATGTTTATAAAAAAGTTGATAGTAGGGAGACTCATACTTCAATTATTGAGATAATAAATGATTAATGAGATAAACTGGAGTAGATAAAGCTTCAGTCCAAAATTTAGTTGGAACAGAAGATTCTATCAGTAATGTGCGCAAAATTAAATAGATGTTGATTTTTTTATTCAGCAACTCCATTTTGTTGCGGTGTATAGGGACATGAACGTTGTGAAATAATACCTTTGTTATGGAGAAATGCTTGAAACTTATTAAAATGTATTCACCGTCATTATCAGACCATAAGGTTTTAATGCAAGCGGAGAATTGAGTTTCAACATATTCTAAAAAATGTTTGAAATACAGTAAATACTTCTGCTTTGAAACACAAAAAGTAGATCCAAGTAATTCGATTGTAATCATCAACAAATGTCACAAAATATCTATATTGAGCATGTGAAATAACTGGCGTAATTCCCCAAATATCATTATGAATAATGTCAAAACATTTATTGGCACGACTGTCTAAAATAAGAAAAGGTAATGTCTTACTTTTTTCAAGTTTACAGACAAAACATTCAACTACTAAACTCTTATATATATAATAAAGAACACCACTTTTAAGTAAATGTTTCAACATCATATCATTTGGATGATCCAATCTTTTATGCCAGATGCTTGCCTTATTCTCAATAACTGAAGAAGTTAATGACATATTCTGCGGAACATTAAATTGTAATGGAAACAGACTGCCCACTTTAGGACCCTTCGCTATCACCTTCCCCGACACCTGATCCTGCACAATACAACAATCACGAGAAAAATATACGCCACAATTATTATTCATAATTTGACCAACAGAGAGTAAGTTAGTAGATAATTTAGGAGGGAGAATAGGAGAAACCAAGACATGTCTGAAGGAGGAGTTAATATCACTAATTGCCGTAATTGAAATATTATTTCCATCAACAACCTGAATATGTTGAGTACCAGTGTACGGTCGTTGGTTATGCAATAAATCAGTTGTGTCAGTCATATAATTTGTGGTGCCTGAATCAACAAACCAAGAAGAAGGAACGAAAGTCATAATTTTACCTATCCGTTGAAGACCGAGAGCAGAAAAGGCAGAGAGAATCATCTGTTGCACAATATATCTGTTGAACCATATATGGTGTGACAATCGATTGATTATTGGCAGCAACTATAGATGTCGAGCCAGGATTGTGAGTGTCGGATACCATGACATGTAGTACTTGTGGTTTGTGGTTTTGGGGTCGGTAGGGCCCTCCGTAAGAGTATGTCCGTTTTGCTTCCAATAGTTACATACA